CAGGAAACCGCAATAAAATAGTATGAAGCCAAACGTAATCAAACCCATGATACAAGACAATCAACTAGCCTCTAGAGTAACCACCAGATCCCAAGGAAAGCGAGACACTTTGGAGGAGAATGACACCACCCAAACTTTTAAGCAAGCTTTGCCCACTGATGAATGGTTTTTGAGCCACAACAACAGCTGTCTGATGAAAGATAACCTAGCTTGGGTGGGAGGGAAGTTGTATGTTCCAGCCAGCCAAAGACTGTACTTAATGGAAAGGTGCCACGACTCCAAGATGCCAAGGCAAAATGCTAGGACTGTTACAGAAGGTAGCCGAGCCCTCAGCACCCTGGAAGGAGATAGCTATGGATTTTATTTCAAACTACCAGATAGTGCAGGGAATACTGTCATTTGAGTCATAACAGACTTGTTTTCAAAACAGGCACATTTTATACCATGCCAAAGGATCCCAACTGCCAAAAGTCTAGCCAAGTTATTCCTGATGCACATTTATCGCCTTCATGGAGCCCCACAGAGAATAATCTCCAACAGAGGGGTCCAATTCACCTCAAAATTTTGGGGGGCATTCTTAAACTTACTGGGCACCACCTAAGGACTGAGCTCCAGTCACCATCCGTACGCCAATGGTCAAACTGAAAATCGGAACATGGTTCTAGACCAATACCTAAAATGTTTTATTAATTTTCAACAGGACAAGTGGGTTGATCTTTTACCTTTTGCAGAAGTGGCCTTCAATAACGCTATGCACTCAAGCACTGCGTTCACCCCTTGTAGAATAGCAACAGGCCAGGATTTCAACTCCATGGCTGAACTACCCACAGAGGAACCCACCGTCTCTTCCTAAATATGGTTTGGTGGAAAATATTGACAGTGATAGAGGTACACATTTTATATCATACGTAGTGAAGAAGGTAATGGAGCAATTGGGAATTGATTGGCAATACCATTTGGCTTTTTCGCCTAGTTCCTTGGGAAGGATTGAACATTTTAACTCCACCCTAAAATATACGTTAAAGAAATTAATGTTAGAACTCCATTTGCCTTGGACTAAATGTTTGCCTTTAGCTCTTTTACACATAAGAACCAGTCCGAGGAAAAATTTAGGAATTTCTCCTTATGAGATGATGATTGGATTGCCTTACACTGGCAGTGTGGGAATGCCAAGAATTGAACTTAAATATGTTTTCCTTAGAAGATATGTACAAGGACTGTCCCAGTGTTTTTCTCATTTAAGATCGAAGGGACTATTGGCACAAACTCCTCCACTTGATTTCCAGATCCATAATTACAGAAGTGGTGACTGGGTCCTGATTAAATCTTTGAAGGAGAAGAAATTGCAGGCAGTGTGGGGAGGACCATTTCAAGTACTGTTGATAACTGAGTTGGCCATGAGAATGAAAGAAAAGGGCTGGGTGCATTTCTCCAGAGTGAAGGGACCAGTGGTTTCATCTTACAGATGGACTGTGTCACCAAATACATCTGACCCATTGAAGTAACTTTTCAAAGACAAGCCTCAGATTAATTTATGGAACACTGGGTGTGGGAATTGCTTATTTGGCTAGGGGTAATAAACTTCTTTATCATGCTTTTGCTTTTGCTCAGAAAAGAATTAACAGAGTGGTTTAAATCTTTGTTTCATCCAATGAATGTAAGCCTTTCCAGCTTTAACCCAGTGGAAAACCTGAATGTTTAAGGGTAAGCATTTTTTTTATACATACCTTAAACAGGGAAGTGGACTAGTTCATTAGGACAATGAAATTCACAGTGATGATAGTGATTGCCTTGTTGAATGTTTG